ACACGAATGTATAAAGTTTAGTATGAATTTATGATGTTAATTTATTAAGTTAAGTATGAATGTATGAAGTTTAACATGAATGTATAAAGTTTAGTATGAATGTATAAAGTTTAGTATGAATGTATAAAGTTTAGTATGAATGTATAATGTTAATTTATTAAGTTAAGTATGAATGTATGAAGTTTAACATGAATGTATAAAGTTTAGTATGAATGTATAAAGTTTTGTATGAATGTATGATGTTAATTTACTAAGTTAAGTATGAATGTATGAAGTTTAAGATGAATAATAAAAGTAGTCCGTTAAGGGGCGGAGCTTTTTTATTCCGTTTACACAGATATAAACCGAATTCACGTGACCGCTGTTAAAGCGCGGGATTCTAACCCACAGCACTTAATCGCAATATCAGTGTCATATGTTTTGGAGATATGTGGCAACTAAGACCAGTTAAAGGTAATAGTTTATGTCATGAAAGTGTCATAGACCTATGGAACGGTAATTTCAAACTTGTTGAACTTACTGAAATTATGAGACAAAAAGATGATTTAGCCTTTGCCCAAACATTGAATAGAATTAGACAAAGAAAAAAAAGTGAACCAATGCTTGCTTCAGACGTCAAAATGTTACAGAGTAGTGTAACTGGTAAAGAAGATGATTGTCTGCACATATTTTCTACTAATCAGTAAGTTGATGATTATAATTCTAGAATGATTGATGAAAAATGCCCGAATTCTGTGTCCATCAGTGCTCTAGATTATTCAAAAGATGTTAGAACCATTAAAATGACGCTTAAAACCACGCGTTAAAGTGACTGATACACCATTAGTGTCTAGCTTAAAAATAGGTGTAGGGTCAAAAGTTATGTCAGTAATTAATTTAAATGTTTCTACTGGCTTGATAAATGGAAGTTTTGGTCAAGTAGCATTCATTCAAACTGATCAGAATAATCAAACTGACAAAATTTTTGTAAAATTTGATAATGCTAAAGTTGGAATAAATGAAGACAGTGTTCCACTTCCGTCCGTCACTTCCGCGATGTTAGACGCCAGTTCCCATTACGTCTCGCTTATGCAGTTACTATTCACTAAGTACAAGGTCTAAGTCTCGATAGAGGCGAAATATCACTTCATAAGATATTCCAAGCTGGTCAAGCCTATGTTGCGTTAAGCAGAGTTAAAACATTACAGGGTCTTACAATACAAGATTTTATGGAAAAAACATATTTTGTTTTGAAAAAATTGAATCGGCATTGGCAGCAATGGATACTTTTTTAAAACCCGAAAACGAGACCATATCAACTGATACTAATATAATTTTACACAATGTTCAGGGTTTATCTATTCATATAGAGGATTTACAGAAACACAGGAAAATGCTAGAAGGTGATATCATTTGTTTAACAGAAACATGGCTAAATAATTCAATAACTCCAGCAAAACTAAAGTTAAATGGTTTCCGTCTTCACCACCATCCTCGAAGCAGCAGCTATGATGACACTAGAGAAAAGGAGCACGGAGGAGTAGGAGTATATTATAAGCAAAACAAAAATGTCAACATTTTAAAATTGGGAGTTTTAAATATAGAACACATTGCTTTGAATATTTTGGATAAAAATATGAACGTAATTGTTATCTATAGACCACCCGTTTATCGATTAGATTTATTTCTGCCAGTGTTAGAAAGATTATTAGTTGAATTACAAGAATCTGGTTCAGACCATGTTATTATGGGGGATTTCAACCAAAATATCTTGGAGGGTCATTTGTCTATACTAAGTTGTTTTCAAAAATTTGGTTTTCAACAACTTGTTCAGCATACACTACTGAAGGTGGGACACTTATAGATCATGTTTATATCAGTAAAGAAATTCCGTCACATAATGTTCACATTTCACACATACCTGTATATTATAGCTACCATGAAGCTATTAAAATAACCATACGATAAGTTATATTGATACAAGATTGAATTTACCCTTTCACAAAACATTTCATTTAGCTTGGCTGTTTACTAAAAGTGGTCGAGTCAACACCGGGCTTGAGAGGGTTTGAAGTTCAAAAAAGTCTTACAGCTATCAGGCAAAGTATCACGGGCCACGCTCAGTGCTGTTCACAGCTCTAGTTTAGAATTTGTTTCATTAAGTAAAATTTCTTTGATGATTTCTCTTTTTTTTTTAATAAGGTGCGAAAATTATCAATATTCCACACTCATCTTTGAAAAAAGATAATACTTTCTAGATTATAATGAGATGATTTATATGGTGTTAAGAACATTGTTGACATATTGTTGTGAACTCCAAAGAAATAAAATTTTTACAGTAAGATGTGGGAAGAACTTTCTGACAATTAAGAGCACATTTTACAAAGATGCAGTATTTCTGCTATTGATTTAAATCCGATTTAAAATCGATTTCACAAGCCACTGACAATATGAACGGTATTATATTTTGTTGTATATCTCTACTCTTTTAAAGTTTAATTAAATTCATGAATCTTACTTAACGGTATTCATTTACAGCACATATTCTTTCTTGTGTTTCAACAAGGATGCAGTAAGGAAAAGTATGATTGCTCTCTCTGGAACATCGTATACTACATCTTTTTTAAGTCCATCATAAAATTTTCAAAATTTAAAAAAAAAATTTCAAACGCTTTTTGCATCAACCTTAATGAACAATAGCAAAACTCGTTAGAATTTATCAAGTTGATTATGATTGTATAAAGTTGAGTATAATTGTATAAAGTTGAGTATGATTGTATAAAGTTGAGTATGATTTATAAAGTATAGTATGATTGTATAAAGTTGAGTATGATTGTATAAAGTTGAGTATGATTGTATAAAGTTGAGTATGATTGTATAAAGTTGAGTATGATTGTATAAAGTTGAGTATGATTTATAAAGTATAGTATGATTGTATAAAGTTGAGTATGATTGTATAAAGTTGAGTATAATTGTATAAAGTTGAGTATGATTGTATAAAGTTGAGTATGATTTATAAAGTATAGTATGATTGTATAAAGTTGAGTATGATTGTATAAAGTTGAGTATGATTGTATAAAGTTGAGAATGATTAATAAAGTATAGTATGATTGTATAAAGTTGAGTATGATTTATAAAGTTGAGTTTGAATTTATAAAGTATAGTATGGTTGTATAAAGTTGAGTATGATTGTATAAAGTTGAGTATGATTGTATAAAGTTGAGTATGGTTGTATAAAGTTGAGTATGATTTTATAAAGTTGAGTATGATTGTATGAAATTGAGTATGGTTGTATAAAGTTGAGTATGATTTTATAAAGTTGAGTATGATTGTATAAAGTTGAGTATGATTGTATAAAGTTGAGTATGATTGTATAAAGTTGAGCATGATCTATAAAGTTAAGTATGAATTTATAAAGAATAGTATGATTGTATAAAGTTTAGTATGAATTATAAAGTTTAGTATGAATGTATAATGTCAATTTATTAAGTTAAGTATGAATGTATGAAGTTAACCATGAATGTATAAAGTTTAGTATGAATTTATGATGTTAATTTATTAAGTTAAGTATGAATGTATGAAGTTTAACATGAATGTATAAAGTTTAGTATGAATTTATGATGTTAATTTATTAAGTTAAGTATGAATGTATGAAGTTTAACATGAATGTATAAAGTTTAGTATGAATGTATAAAGTTTAGTATGAATGTATAAAGTTTAGTATGAATGTATAATGTTAATTTATCAAGTTAAGTATGAATGTATGAAGTTTAACATGAATGTATAAAGTTTAGTATGAATTATAAAGTTTAGTATGAATTTATGAAGTTTAACATGAATGTATAAAGTTTAGTATGGATGTATAAAGTTTAGTATGAATGTATAATGTCAATTTATCAAGTTAAGTATGAATGTATGAAGTTAAACATGAATGTATAAAGTTTAGTATGAATTTATGATGTTAATTTATTAAGTTAAGTATGAATGTATGAAGTTTAACATGAATGTATAAAGTTTAGTATGAATGTTAATTTATTAAGTTAAGTATGAATGTATAAAGTTTAGTATGAATGTATAATGTTAATTTATTAAGTTAAGTATGAATGTATGAAGTTTAACATGAATGTATAAAGTTTAGTATGAATGTATAAAGTTTAGTATGAATGTATAAAGTTTAGTATGAATGTATAATGTTAATTTATTAAGTTAAGTATGAATGTATGAAGTTTAACATGAATGTATAAAGTTTAGTATGAATGTATAAAGTTTAGTATGAATGTATAATGTTAATTTATTAAGTTAAGTATGAATGTATGAAGTTTAACATGAATGTATAAAGTTTAGTATGAATGTATAAAGTTTAGTATGAATGTATAATGTTAATTTATTAAGTTAAGTATGAATGTATGAAGTTTAACATGAATGTATAAAGTTTAGTATGAATGTATAAAGTTAAGTATGAATGTATAATGTTAATTTATTAAGTTAAGTATGAATGTATGAAGTTTAACATGAATGTATAAAGTTTAGTATGAATGTATCAAGTTTTGTATGAATGTATGATGTTAATTTACTAAGTTAAGTATGAATGTATGAAGTTTAAGATGAATAATAAAAGTAGTCCGTTAAGGGGCGGAGCTTTTTTTATTCCGTT